GATGGCAATCAGACCGCAAGCAAGTTGGTCCCCCCCCAAAAATCCTAGTACTTCTGCAGTTTGGCAGCATTTTGGCTTCAGGCGCACATTTGTTTATGTTTTACAGCAATGAAACTTAAAGCCACGTGACTCATTTGCATAAACTATAAAGGGCAAAAAACATTTTGCTAATACGGTAATAATGTATACCCCGGTAAAATCCTGAGTAGGTTTAACGGTTTCAAAATTTGGATACCGCCCAACTCTATTACATAGACCATAATCCATTGCACCAATTCAGTGCAACCAGCAATAAATAACTGTTATTTTAATTTATTTTTTCCATTATTAGTATACCTCTAGAATACCTCTCAATTGAAAGCCCCAAGCATAACAGGCATGAGCAGTTTAAAATGATATAATCTAAATCATGATTTAAGTTGTTGTTTTTTTTCCCCCAATAGGACAGACAATAATGAGAATAGCACTACATTGAAGGCTTGTCCGAGCATCCTGCAGTGCTTTTTTGAAGAAAAGGAAGCATTTCTTCAGTCCTGTTAGCTGCGGCTCCACAGTATGGTCAAATAAATATTGAGGTGAAACACACTGTGATAATAATGACATATAATGTTTCTATAGGTTTTCTTACTGCAGATATTTGTCACAATAAAACTTTCTTGTATTGCATTATCAATTAACACAGTCACTGATAAATTTTCAGTGACTGTGAGATCCAGTCAAATTTGCCAGTAAACCAGTTCTTTTTCAAACCTCATCAGTGCATACTGGTGTGCCCTGGAGCAATACACTTCACCCACACTGACCCCTACCTCAGTATCTGATGGGACAATTGAGCTGATGTAAGTGTTAACATTTAACAGTTTCCTAACTAAGGGCGCCACACATTACAGGATTTTTCAGTCTTAAATGATTTTTTAAATGTGCGACAAAAAGCGCACACCACAGACATGAGGAGAATCTTAAGAGATTTTAAATCTCCGATCGCAAAACCTGCTGCAGGATATGGCTGCGTATCACAGGCTATAAAACTGTGAACACGATCGAGTCTACTGTTTCTTGTCTAGAGTAAAAACACTCGCTTTGAGTGTTCAAAAGATCAGAGCACTGCACTTTTAGTTTACACACAAAACTGTGTTATTATTTGTGAAATGTGGCGCAATACTTCAAGTACATGATTTTTAATGCACAGAAGGTTGACGATAAAGTACACAGGAAGTAAGAGTCACTATTGCAAATCTGCAGTTTCTCCCCGGTGCGTGCACTGCGTGGATGTAAAGAAACACACGTGAGGAACTACTCTTGTCTTTTTACTTTTAAAAAATGCTTCAAACTGGAGTAATATCGCTGTTTTGTGGACTGGGTGTCATTATTTGCAGAGGACAAATTCTATGAATAATGTGGATGAGATGCTGCAGTTTATATTTACAACTTTATGAGAGGTAAGTAATCATTATTTTCGCTATTTCTTGAGTTTGTGTCTTGTGCCTCTGTGTCCGTCACTCCATCTGCCCCTGACGTTCTGTTTTATTGGCTGTTACCGTTCTCCTGTAGTGTGTGGCAGCCTTTACAGTAAAGGGCAGTTACATCTTTTATAGATAAGCCACATGATATCATTAAACTAATTAAAATGAAAGTTTAGTTTCATTTTAAGACATAACCCTAGGCCTGTCATGATAATACATTTCGATGTATGATATCTTGCTGAAGAAATTACAGACCATAAACGATAATATTTAATTTAACAAATTTATGCCTCTGACACAATAACCCTAAAGTTGAATTTTCCAAAAACTATTCTAAATTTATGACATGGTTAAACAACACAAACAGCAACAAATACATACAAGAATAAAACACTTTGGTAGTTAGTTTGTATCTATAATAAGTGATAGAAGTTATTTATTTTATCTTTGAGAGCTCAAATCTAATCGTAGAGCAGGACAAATAACAAAATGTTCCCTGACTAGTGCTAAGAAAAGGTACTCAGGAAAAATATTGACCCCCCCAAAATTATGTTTTCATCCGACATATAGTTAGTTGATATAGTATTTATTGTGACAGGCCTATATAACACAAACAATTATTGTACAGGCCAGTGTTTTTCTCATAAATAGTCTGAAGTAAAGTTTTATGTGACTTGGATGTAATGATGTGGAGCCCATCAAAGCATCTGGACAATGCATTAAATCTAAACTGAGCCTGTTTTTGAATGAGGAAGAGAAGAGCAGGTATTTGTGCTCAAGTTCATACTGCTGCTAAACAGAAATATATTATTATTCAATGAAGCAAGACCTTTTTACACAGAGTGTTGTATTCTTTTTTATCATTAATTATTGATTTTATATATTTCAATCTTGGAAACACAGTCAGTATTATTAGTGGGATTACAAACCAAGTGTCATGATGATTTTTTGGTACCAGACCAGTCAGGGGGCTAACCTTACAGTTTTAGTTTGTAAGTGATATTAAGAGCACAATTACCTTTGAGCTTAACAAAATAAAGAATACTGTAGGACCATGGTCAACTAAAGGAATTCTTGGTGAACTAAAAACATATCCTAGGAAAAAAAAGTGCTAGGAAGCATTGTATTTATATATTAAAAAGAAAGATTAAACACAGAATTTAATTCCCAATCTTCAACTAATCCACTCTCCATCTTCTTTCTGTTTCTCTGCAAATCCTTACGATTTAAATACAATAATTAGTCAACAATTACAATTTTTGGTTGAAGACACCATTGACCGATTAATTTACTTAAACTTAAACTATAGCCCAAGATTACTGTATGTCTTATTATTGCAAAAAAATATCCTAGAAATGCAGAAAACACATACCAATATTACAATAATACACTGGAAAGAATAATAAATATTTTACAGTATGGGTGTGCAAAAATATTGAAATATCAATATATCGTATCGTTTAATGCGATGATACAGTATCGATACCATGGGCTGCTGTATCGATATATCGCCAAGAGTATTTTTTGGTATATTTACCCAAATTATTTTGTTACAGCTACAGTTTTGTTGCTTGTTTAGAGGAAGGAAACTCGTATGTGATACATTTGACATTTTCACTGTTTTTATGATTAAAATGTTTGTGTTTCGTATGAACTTTGCACAAGAAGTGATTTAACAAAGACTTTTAGTATCACAGCCATGACTTAGACTTAATTTTTTATTGAACCGTATGGAATCGATTTGAAATATATCGTATCAAATCAAAAGCTCACTGTATAGAGATATGTATGGTATCGTGGCCTGTGTATCGAGGTATGTATCGTATCGGCAACTTCTTAACGATACCCAGCCCTATTTTACAGTAACTTGGAGATTATATCTGGGTAAATAAATACAGTTATTCCCATCTAATCAAATATACCTGTACCCAATACGGAAAGTAATAAGTACAAAGCAATTATGCATGTCATGTGATTTGCTACGTCATCAACTTAAACTCAAACATTTAAATAGTAAATATATTTGCAAAACAGATAACATTTCAACTAAATGTATGCACAGGGAACATGGGGAACAGGCACAAAGTTTACTTGGGAAACAATAATTAGATTCAAATATCAATATTGTATCATTTCTTTTGATGATACATGTTCAATATCGTGCGCTACTGTATCGATATATTGCCAAGAGTATTTTTTGTATATTTTACCAATTAATTTTATGACTTCTCTCGACCTGTCACAAAAACAATTTTTGACGCATGATATATCACTACAGAGACATATTGCAATAAATGCTAATATTGATTAATGCCACTGACATACAGCAGGAAAATCCCAGTAAACCAATTATTGAATAGATAGAGTATCATTAAAAGCCAATTTAGTTGCTTGTTTATAGGAAGGAAACAAATTTATGCCATAAATTTGACATATTCACCGTTTTGATTATTAAAATGGGTGTTTCATATGACCTTTGCACAGGTAGTGGTTTATCAAAGACTTTTAGTATCACAGCCATGATTTAGCAATTCTTTGTGAAAATGGGGTTGAGCATTAAGTAAGGGGCTGATAGCCATTATTTTTTACTTACCAAATAAAATCAGTTTGAAATATATTATATTGAATTGTATCAAGTGCACTGTATAGAAATGCGTATTGTATTGGCAACTTTGCAATGATACACAGCCCTAGTTTTTATAGACGAGTTGTTCCCAAAGTGGGGGCTAAGGTGTCACAAGGCATGAGCTGGGGGATGTGAGATGATTTAGAGATATGGTTGAAAAAGAATTGACTCAGCATTTCATTCATATTTAAACTTAAAGTGTATATTTTAATGTAATTAGATCAGATATGATAAATACACAGTTAAAATAAACAATACTAAATGTGATTATACATATTTTGCTCATGATCACAGAGATCAACTTTATTAGACATTTCATGGATCCCAGCCTACTAAGTATATAAATGTTCTATGGCCGTGGCAATAAGACTATAAGAGCAATAGTTGTAACACTAGTCTTACTACCACACTGAGGAATTTCTAACTACATCACCAATTTCAACTAATCAATCTACAATGAAGTATTTGTACTAGGATGCGTCACTATAACCTACTCCCTACCAGTTTGCAATCTCTGCTACTACATTTTAGTAAATTATAGTTATGTATTACTTTAGTTCAGACTTATAAGTTATCAGAAGTTTAAGTTTCTAGCAGTGGGTTTATTTCACTGACCGTATCAGTACTTATACTTGTTATATTGTGTCGTATGACCTCTCTGCATCTCCAAAACTGGGAGTTGTCAACCAATACCTATACTATAAGTCCAAGAATTAAATATTAGCATCACTTAGAATATTTGCAATCATTAACCACACTTTTTAGCACTTGCTTTCTCTTATGTGATGCCATTAGCTGGAGATGAAGTTACAACTTTCCCCTAATTTCGTGTGGAATGAGTTAAGGCCTGTACAGGTGAGTCTGAACCGCTCCCAGGTAAAGTTAGCGTTGATTGATAAAACTTATCTTACCTTAAGACGTAAAAGCGCAGGACTGTCAGTCTGTCGCTCCAAAACAACATGAATAACAAGTACCAAATCTTCTAGGTGAGCTTTCTGACGATTTTCGAAGGGATGTTGCTGTCAGGTTTTGATTTTGTTGCCAAATCGCTGCTGAAAAGTCTTGGTTCCCAGCTAAAGCTAGTTAGCATTAGCAATTAGCATATATGTGTTTACTTTATGCTGTCAGTGTCCGCGCTGCGAGATACGGACATCAATCCACGTCCAGATAAAGCTGTAGGCAATTTAAAGGGGTAAAAGCATTGGATGGTAGGTTTCAGAATGTCTCGAGAGGCCAAGGAAAACTTTAGCCGCACTCTTGACCTGCCAGCGGACCAAACATCGCAGTTTATCGGTCCTTCCTTCTGCGGAAAACCCGGAAACTGCAGCCGACACAAAATGGAGGCAGCGCGGAGCCGAGTTCAGGGGACGTCCGATAATCAACCATGCACCAAAGTTGTCTCATTACAAATACTGAGATCATTTAAGTACTTGATTTTAGTATATTGATTTAAGATCATTTATTATTTCAGTCAAATACAATGTTTTATAAGAATAAGGGCCATTTTAACTATTATTGTGGTGGGTCTTCCAAAGATGAATGGGTCACTCTTGAGATGCTGCCATTTGTTGTTGCACACAGCTGCTAAAGTTTCTGTGGATAGTAAGACAAAATAAGGCATGAACACAGAATAAATATGTCTACATAAAATAAGATGTAGATTAAATTATAGGCTGCATTTCATTTTCCCTGGGTTTGCACTGCGCACACTATTGTTGTGCCTCAGAGCAAGACACTTCCACTCACAGTCTCCGTAGGCTATATGACAGGACAATCTGAGCTGGTGCTTAAGTTAACACTGGAATTCAGATAACGATATAGAGATGAGCCACATCATAGTTTCCATTTAATTAGTGTGGCTTATGTGTATAATGCTTTTCCAGTCCATCTGTCCAGGTTTCACAAAGAATAGGTGATATGTGAATTATGTTGTTATACACATCAGAAAACACCAAAAAATATATCTCTTATATCTGTCAATGTTTGTTTAGTTCTATAATAATCCATCATTGTATAAAAAAGTGTTATGAGCTTCACCTATCTGAAAGATATCCAGTTGCCGCTGAAGTGTTCACCAGCCCTACACTGTCCTACACTGTTTGAGCCCTTATGACCCTTTTCATTGTTCAAAATGATTCACATGCAAAATATCTAAAGTTTGTCAAATCTAAATATCCAACCTCTTGCCATTCATTCCGCAACCACCAATTCGAAACAATTAAATTCAGTTTAGTAGTAAATAATTTTGATATTGCATATATGATAGGTATGCAATATCAAAATCACTGATTTATTATAAATTGTTTATTATAAGCTATTAATGTTTTTCAGATATGTATGTGGTCATACCACACTCCCAAGAGTCAGTTTCCCTTATTGACTTCACTGCAGTAAAAAAAAAAAAAAAAAAAGAAGAAGAAGAAAAAAAAAAAAACAAAAAAAACCAAATGTTAAGCCTGATGATTTCTATTAATGATAAAAATAAAATTCAGCATTTTAGAGGTGCATTATGTAAAATTTTTCAAGTGGAGTAATATTTACCATTTGGTTGTCTAGAACAAAATATTATTGCTTGCTTAAATAGTTGCAAAGTATGACATTAAATTTATCTATCTCCATCTCAATAAATCAATTCTTGGGGAGGCAGCTCTTATGTATTTGACTCTTATGTAACTTATGTATTTTTGTGCAATAAAACACCAGCAATTTAATACATGCAAGTGATAATTTTAACATCATACTATGGAAAATTCCATGGTAAAGCAACATCTCATTGGAGACAATTTAGAGAAAAGTTACATAGTGCACCTTTAAAGGTTTTAATAATATTCATTTCAGCTGCCCCCTGAAAGTGAGCACTATAAAGCATTGTGTAGGCTGAAGTAAATAGCTCTGGGACCTAATTATTAGAACATTAAATCAGATTTGCTCTTTTTGAGTAAAACTGAATGGCCTTTTGCGTAGTTTCCAGGAGGTGGCGTGTGAATAAAAGCATAAAGCAGTTTGCGCAAATATCAGAAGAAGTAGCCCTTACGCATGCGCGGTAACTGCATCCTTCCAAAGATGGCGCTGTGCAGAGTGTGTCCACGGCTCTGGAGGGCATGTAGTGCATCTTTGTCCCTTCACTCCTCTCTTCTCTCCTCCGCTGTCCGCCTCCAGAGCTCCGTCAGCATTACACCGGCCCCCGCTCAGCCCCTTGTACCGAGGACCTCGCTCTCTCAGCCGCCGTGGGCCGATGCTCCGAGCCCCGTGTCTCTGGAGGAGGAGCAGGCACAGCACGCCGCAGTGGTGACCGCCGTGAATAGCATCATCTCCGGGCAAGACTTCGGGAGACTGTTCGCTGTGGTGCACTTCGCTGGCCGACAGTGGAAGGTCTGATTGTTGTTTTGTTTTATTCAGTTTTCGTTGTGCATTGTCTTGCTCACGGACACATGAACTGGCCAGAGCTAGATTCGAACTGCCAACCCGACTACTATAACACTAATGGTGTTTACCAACCTTCAGTTTCTATGACTTTCTTAAGAAGTGTAAGTGACTGACTAGGAACGTGAATGGTCTTTTGTTGTAGACCTAAGCAGTGATAAACACTGGGCATGTATAAAAATAAGTTTTCATCACTGACATTTGATAATTGTGCCAACTCTAATTGTAATTTCATTTCTGATATGTGGTGTGTAGCAGCCCTGCTCCCATCTTTACAATTTAGAAAAGTGTCTCTCAAACGGTTCCCATCAAGTACTACCAAAAAAAAAAATTATCACCAGATCTGAACCACGTATGTAACTGGACTATTCAGGTCTAATCTAGGGCTAAACGAGGTCTAAACATGGAACATTACCACTGTAGTTCTAACAAGAAAATACCAAAAAGACAAAAAGTTGTTAAAATGAACTCTAAATTTGGCAAACATACATATTGAAGAGCTGTCCAAATATCACCTGGTTTAGATGAACAAGTATATTTAACGGACGTCTTTTTGTCACAGGTGACAGACGAGGACCTGATTTTGGTGGAAAATCACATCGAGGCAGAGTGTGGAGACCGCATTAGGCTGGAGAAGGTGCTGATGGTGGGGGCTCACGACTTCACTTTGGTGGGGCGCCCCCTCCTGACAAAGGACCTGGTGTGTGTCGAGGCCACAGTCATCGAGAAGACAGAGTCCAGACCCAAAGTTCACATGATGTTCCTCAGACGTAAAAGGTTTCAGAGAAAGAAGATCATAGTCCAACCCCAGACTGTGCTTAGAATCAACAACATCAGACTGGCCCCCATGCTCACGTGAACTGGGTTACAAATGTGCTTTAACAGACAGGCTGTGTATAAAGTGATTAACAAGAGAGACTGCTGTCTTCTGCATTAGCTTTATCTGGGTTGACAATAGGTTGGGTTCATGGACTAAAATTGGATCTCAGATTGAGGGCGTGGAGCTGTTGCTGGGTTTCAAATTACATAATTCTGTAGGCCAGTACTATTTAATACAGATGGGGGACAGATTTTTGTTCTGTTGTGAAGGTGTAGTGCCTAATAGAAATCAGGTTAAGCATTTTGTGAATTTACCTACAGTAAAATATAATTTAATTTGGCTCTTGCTCCCCATCTGTATGTAAATGGGTGTGTCCTTTCACCTGCCAACTACTGATCGATTTTACGGACTGATAGTGAACTTTAAGTAAAGACAAAAATGCAACTTAATATGAATCCATCTAGACATTTTTTAAAAGTGTTGTGAAATAAAGTAAATGCAAAAATACAGTTCTTGAAAAAAAAAAGTTTTATTATCAAACTTTGTGGCTGAAGTTCAAGGCACTGTTGAACATTTCTGATCTGAGAAAACCAACCTCAAACTGAACCACTGAATCCAGTTCTACAGGTGAAGTGTTGTATTTGACTTAAGAGTCAAATGTCCAATTTAAACAAGGGAGATTCACACACAAGTTGAACAACAAGTTATGTTTTGGCAACTTTTTGTAATACTGTGGCTACAACGGGCTCAGGGCACCAATATGAGCCGTTTCCTGATTTTATTTAATATGTTATGCTACCACTAAAAGGACAATGGTCTTCCAATCAAGAGTTGTTTATACTGGAGTCTTCCAATTAACTATGGGTGGGGTACATGGGACTGGAACAGAACAAGATTTTGACATCATTTATAGTAAACACTGCCTTTAAATTGTCACACAATTTTAATATTTGCTGTGATGTAGCACATCTTTGTACATTATGGCTTTGGGTGTGACCTACATAACTCACCAGCCCATCTAGCCCTTTCGCACTTTTCTGTGCTAAACGTTAAAGCCATAATATATAATTCAGCCTGTCAAATATGAACTCCCCTAAGAATCAATTAGCAACAATATAAAGATTCTTAAAGTACTTGAGATAAAAATAGTGGCCTAGACTGTTACTTGTTGCTGTTTTTTACCATTTCACCCACCCAAATTGTAGTTAATTTGTAAGATTTGTATAGCATGTATTAATGATGGTAAATGACCCTTTATTATTATGTGACGAAATACTGATTTGTCAATCTAATTTCATTCAGAGGTAGTTTTTTTTCTGCATCCTACATTTGTTCCACCCCAAAAAACAAAATTAAACTTACAAAGATTTTGTTAATTTTTATGACAGATTAGAAAAATAATTACAATTGCATCTCTATTTACTAATTTTAAACTAGAATCTCCACAATTAACTTAAGCAGTCCTATGAGTATTGTCCAGAATATCGACTCCTCTTCTTGAAAATCGTCTGTTGAAGTTGCTTGTGTTTTTTTCTGATTTTGTTCGTTTTCAAAGGTGCTATCTTCAAATGGATCTTGAGGCACTGTATCATCCAAAACACCCTCATTTCAAATTCACTTTCTTGATATGAGGGATGTCCGTAAATACCAATTCCAACTGGTCTAGCGAATTCCCCAGGTACCACGACAACATCTTGCCCACATGTTGCCGATTGCAGCTTGTACGTATCAAAACTTGGGCGAAGAGTTTTATCCGAAACGTATAGGTCAGCATCTCCACGAAGACTGCGCATGTGGAGAATAATTTTCCCATCATGGTTGAGACGAAGGTAGCTGTAGTTTCCGGCCCCGATTTGTCCTTGTACCACATGAAGCAGGACCCATTCTTCAGGCACGGCTTCCTGGTCGTCTGATGAGCTGAGGAAGGAGAGAGAGAGAGGCAGAGACAGGAGCAGGAGGAAGAGGAGGGCCACAGGGGGGCAGCACTGAGCCAGCATCATGGTGAATGCATGGGAATGGTGTAGAGTCGGACCATAGCGCACCTGCAGGAAGAGAAAGGAAAGAGTGATTCTTTCTGGCTTAGTGCTGAGTTTTATATTTCGCCTTTGTCATATACTTAAAGATGCCTTAGAAAGATGCATTTAATGCCATACTGTAAAATATTGAAAAACTATAGCTTTGTATTTTAAATATTTTACTAGTGTATATGGGTTGCTTGGGGAAAGTTTTATTTATTAACTTTTTTAAGCTTAATTCGATTTTATATATATTTAAAAAAAAACTCAAATTTAACAATATAAATAATTGCTACTATGATAAAATAATCATTGCAGCTGTAGCTTGCATAAGCAAAAGATGTCAGCATGCATTCTACCTACCAGCTTTATTTACTTTTGGAACAGGAAACCACTACACCACAAAGGAGAAGATCACAAGGCAGACAGGTTAGGTCCTTAAATGTTGAAACAGGACCTCCAGTCTCAAAAAGGTTTTTCATCAAAAATTAGGAATAAAACAAAACCAGGAACTGAAGACAAATGCAATCAGTTATGTCATCATGCCAACTTTCCACATTATCATTTTGAATTTTGAAAAACATAATTTTGAAAAACACTACCTGAAGCTGATTTGTGATTGACACGTTAAATTATGTGAAACTGTAATTATTGTTAATATCTGGTGGCATCTCTTTGTCCACTAAAAATCCACCAAATAAATTTAAGGAAAATTTAATTCTATATATCACTGCATTATGCATGTTATATCGTTAATCCCACATTAGCATCATATGATCATTTGCAACTGCGTTCATAATGTATTGTAGACGAGTTTCCACTTCAGAACAGCCACACAGCTGACAGTAAATAACAAGGCAAAAAATGATCCTTGGGTTAAAAATAAAACTCACTGAACTTTGACCGAGACACAACATACTAATTCTTTAACACACACTTGAAGCATGTACACATCCTAAAACAGCACAAAATTATACAAAACTAGAACATTAATTTCTTAACTAACGAAACCTACTAACGCTAACCCAAATCAAAACTTGGCTATGACTTGCAACAAAACTGGCTAATTTATCAAAATATATTCTTCAGATTATTTTATTAAAATTATATATTATCCTATGAACCTACATGTTAAAACTACTAGCAACAAACCACACACATTTACCGAAAATTAAGTTAGCAAAGTATTTAGGTTAACTAGCCATTAGCAAAACGAAGCTAAGCCTGAGATATTAGCTTGTTCCGACACAGTCAAATTGGCCGGTATTTGAGTAAAAGAGTAATATTATTGTAGTTAAACATAAATTATTAAATGTAAGTGATACGTACATGATAAAAGGTGGTAAATCTGTGGTTTTGGGAGACTTATGAAGATGTCATTTGCAGATTTTCTTGAACAACCTGCTGCTGTTGCTGCCGCTTCTTCTGTCGTGTTTACATGGAGCACAGCAGAGACAGGGACTCACCGACGCTTCCCACTGACACACACTGGTACTGACGAGAATCACATTTAGCATTTGTTTCACCTGCATTTAAATGCACAATAATTTTTTTGTTGCAAACCGCTAATGCTATGATAAATGTATATGTTGCTTTTTATTTAACTGAGAAAAACTACTGGTACCACACTACAACCACATTCATTTTTAGAATCTTTTTGCAAGGACTTCTTGGTGGAGCATATTTCAAAACAGTGGTCTCCAAACTATGGGCACCTGGGTAACAAATGCACACATATTATCTTGGGAAATACTTTTTATTGCTAATTTTAAATGCTCTACAGTCATAATTTAAATAACTATTTTGCAATGACAAGTATAGGGTTGCTGTCTTACAGCTCTGTATTATTAATACATTTTGTCATTAATTAGTTTATAGTCCAACTATTGATCACCCATTGGTACATATATTAATGTTTAAAATTAATATTTGAAAAAAAAGTCTAATTAGGTTCCAAATATCATTTGAAGGTGCATCATTTATGTTTTTAGGTAGAGGGCTTGATAGCTTCTATTCCACATGGACATGATTTGTTTGGAATGTTCCAAAATGGCACAAAACTCCAGGGAGACAGGCAGGTGACTCCACTAAAACACCCATTAACAAATGAAAGAAAGAAGAGTTTATACATTCCAGGCAAAGCAAATCCATTTTCATAAGACAAGCAAGTGATGAAAACTCCACCAGAAAACGTATATAGTGCACCCTTAATTGTGTTTAGTTAGACTACATATGTCAGCCCTAATACTAGTTTGGTCCAACAATATGAAGAAATTCCATTTTAAATGAGTATTACTTATAAAACAAGACAAATATGTTTTATAATTCATTTTCACTTTAATGAACACCAACTGTTTAAACAAAAGAAAAAGAAACAAATTGACAAAAAATGATCTGGGAAGTCTCATCGTCAGGCTTAAGTTTCAAACCTCACATTTAAAATCTTATAAACTATATTTTCAACAAGTCTGCATATTTCATCACATCAGATACAACTTATTATTTATTCACCATTTTTTTAATATAATGATCACAACCAGTCGACCAATTTAAGGCTTGAAGTTCTCGTTTGTAGCCGATGTTAAGGCCCCAAAAGATTCGTAGTGTTTTTCTTACAAGTAAATAGGATTTGTTTAAATAAATCACTGCATTTTTCTTGTAAAAACATTTCTCATTTAGGGAAGCTGATATTTCTGATTCAGACTATACAATTCCAGGTGGATGAATTGGGAAAGATGATGGTTTTAGTCTTGAAGGAACATTGTCCGCAAAAAGAAAAGTTTGCATTTTACAGTTCATTGTAGTACCATGCTAGCGCCGCCGTCCAAGTGCTAACCGTAGATTATTAGCAATATATGTCCAAGTGCTAACGTTTGATTATTAGCAATATAGAATTCACAAATATGTTCTTGATATAAGGCCCCATTCTGCACAATCACAGCAGATGTTGGAATACTGGATATAAAAGTGTTTCATGAAAAGATTGTATTGTAATATCCACAGTTCTGAGATATATTGAGTAGATGAATGAATGAAGTGGATGAAAGCTAAGGCAAAAATCAATAAATTAGTGGTTATAAAATGAAGTAAAGTTTTTTAAGTAGCTGAGATAGAGTTCACCTCTCACAACTTCAATTTGGTAGAAGCTTGGGAAAGAGATAAATTACTTCCAATGGACAAACGTGAGCTGTATAGTAGGACTGCTAAGGATTATTAGTCGTGGACAATTTCAATTAGTCAGACTATTATTTCTATTGAATACTTATATTATTTAATGTGCCTTATGTTTTTAATTAATTTAATAACCAGATTAAGGTAAAAATATATAGATTGATGACCACGTGGTAGAGAATATCAACATATTTTTTCATCAAAATCATGTACATTCTTTGTGCCATTTTGACTAACGGCGCAATGATTTGCGATATTATAACGGCACCATCATTTCGATAAAACATTTTCTAGCACAAGGCCTACATTTATAGTTGAGATAGTGATAAGGCTGTTGGTTAATTAGCTGAGGATTACATCATTGGACAATTAGTTACAATGATTAGAATTACTCATTGCTGTCCTAATGTCCCAGGTGCTTCCAATTTAAGGATATAATACTGTAAATTTATGAAATGATGCATATGAGACAAAGTAGTTGTATTAGAGAAGTTGTTTTTGCTGTCAGAGGGCAGAAGGGAGCATTCCAAACTACATTCCCAGTTCACTGTCATGCCACTTCTGTAAAAAGAGTAGTCTCTGTGTTTGCGGCGCTTGGATTCTTGGCTTGTTTCAGTCTTAAAGCAGCGCTGTGGCCCTGGGTTCTTGCTCCTAAAATGGGGCAGCGGCAGAAGCGTTAGGTCCAGGCTGTAGGAAACGAGGAAGAAAAAGGAAGGAAGAAGGAGGATTTGGATCAGACCGAAGGAGCGGACTTTCTCTGCAGTAGATACTGGTGGATGTCGTCCGCATCACGTTTGAGCCACGCAGCGTTCAGGAGGATGTTTTCACAGCACTGCTCAACTGTACGCTCGGCCGAAGGAGCAGGGTGTGACTCAAAGAAACTCTGAAGAAACAGAAATCAGTTTATTAGAGATTTAAAGGTGCATTGTGTAATCTTTCTGGTGGCGGGTTGGGTAATTGCTTTTCTCCATGGAGATGTTATTGTTTTGTCTGGAATGGTTCACAGTACGGTAATGAACCTTTGTATCTTCAAAGAGACCAAACCAGACCAATTTACAGGTCAGATCTGTGGAGAGGTGTCCCCACTCACAGTCAGAATGGCTGTTTTACTAGGTATTTTGAGCTGTAAAACCATCTGCAATTGAATAAATGTAAGGTAGAGCTGTTTAATGTCAGACTGTGGAACATTCCAGGCACAGCAATGAGATATCCACAGAAAAAAGCAGGGGACGGACCCTCTGCCAGAAAAGTTACACAAGGCACTTTTATGACTCTTGCACTATAATCAACAGGTGCTGGGTGACATGCAAAAACTTATTATTTTGATCTATCACGATTTTTAAAACATCTTATTTGGTCATATTATGAACAAAAAATGTTTTTCAATAATAATGGGCAAGAATGAAAAGTTGTTGGTTTTGTTTAGCAAGGCTGCCTCAAATGCCTCTTGATGGATAATATATAAAAGCAAATATCCTGAAACCCATATAATTATAATTAATTAGTACTGCTCATATTATATTATACAAGATCTAGGGGTCTGACCTGGTAATAAAACATCTCTTAAGAGCAGTGGTAATTAATTTACTTCAGGAACCAATCAAACTACACTATAAAATCCTAAAACAGAATTCAGGTTTAAAGACAATGATATGTTTCTTTATTAAATAAAAAAGAAATGAGTAGGACTCCGAATGAACAGAAATATATTCACCTTTACTTCAGTAGCCATTTTATCAATTGCGAACCCATCAACTGTGAGCTGCAAGAGGACAATTCAATTTAGAACATTAGCAAATTACCAACACCAAATATATAGTTTTTTTTTTTAAATAACACACAATAAATAAATCCATATACGAGTCCCTGTCCCCTGTGTTTAGTTTTATTATTCACACCTTGATGAGCCGTGATATGAGGAAGCCTCCCTGGTAGCGGTTGTACAGTTCTTCCCAGTTGTCCTTCACAAATTTCCAGGCAGCTTTCCGTCCCTGTTTACTGCTACCGGCCACTCCCCCAATCACAGACACGGTGTCCTGGGGGCGCACGTCCTCCTGAAAACAAAAATACAAAAACTGTAATAGGGCAGTGAGATTAATTGGTCTGTAACTGAGATTTAATCATTGCTAATCATCAATGACTAGCTTGGGGCTTTAAATCGATCTACAGGTCTACAGTCATGGAAATGGCAATGATTCAAAGCTGCATTGCTAAGGTTTCAGAAAATGAATATTGGAAGCCTTTTTTTTTTAGTAAGACAAAATCAAATTGCAAATTGTCATCAATCAATACGAGAAGTATTAAAAAAAGTCCCATTGCCCATCTTTGGTATATTAAAAAATATGATCAGACCATTTTGAACAACAATCAGCATAAAATGTGCTACTCTATGGGTTTTAGAATGATGAAAAATTATTACCATTATTTTTATTTTATATTGATGAATGCCCTTATTTTTTATTTTATCCTCATTTTATAATTCTTAGCAAGTTCTTAGTTCCTCTGACCTGTATTCTGATTCTGACTACAGGCCACTGAAACCCATGAATAACGTAATCAGGCTGTGATCTATTCTATCTTAATCTGTAATGTGTTTGAAATCTCCTGTTAATTCTCTGTAACACCAATGCAATCAAAAGTCTATTTAGGGCGTACCGAGAGGGCAAAGGTTAGCACTTTCTGGATCAGGTCTGGGGCTGAGATGGCTCCTAAAACTCTTTCAATGCGGTTCTTCTCCTCCTGCATGTCGGCCTGTTTGTGCAGCTGAGGGGACAGACATAATCATAGAATTAAAGAAAATAATAATAAAACAAGTTTGCTTTTTCAATATATTTACCACTGTACAAATGAAAAACTGAATTAACTGCAGCCAAAAACATCTTTTTCTCAAACCACTTAACCTGCTTCTCTTTACAGCATTGTTCTGAAATAGTCTGTTTATGTATTACCGGTAGTTTGTTTATTGTACATTCATATGTACAACACAATATTTGTGTGACATTCAATTTTATTTATTTATTTTTTACTTTATTTTCAATTACTCAATTTCTTCTGCTGGTTGGCTGCATATCTGTATCAAAAAGATTTTTCTCTTGATTATAAATAAAAGCAATTCTTCTATTACCTTTAACATTGTCTCCAACGTGGCACTGTCTCCATGTTTCAACACTGTTAAATACACCTGAAGGTAAACACAAATGTTTATTGTTTTTACTTGTATAGTAGTGTATGTACTGTATAGTTGATATACAACTTATATAAATGTGATTCTTACCGGGCTCCTGAGGTCTGCTGGCAGCACCAATTTCCCATCCACGTGATCTTTAAACCTCCGACGAGCTTCTTCTAAAGTGGGTTTATGCCCCGCTTTCCCCAGTTTACCCAGGACGAGGCCTCGCAACAGAGCGTCCAAATGACCTGAAAACACCAATATTAAGCACTGAAGTAAAAATAGTAGATCTGAAAGAGTGTCTGTTCTCTCATGATGGAGAGTGTTTAGCGTGAACAAATTTTGAAAAATAATTGGGACCTGTTTGTAAAACTAACAAATTTGCATGGCAATATTTATTTCAGTGAGTGTTAAAACACATCCAGCATTCTCAACATTTGCTTAACTAACACCATGATCCCACACATTTCAGAACATGTTTGTACAAGTTCAAACAACAGGGTTGGCAATTTTCATGCAACAGTAATTAGGTAAGTTGGCCCATTCAACCTGAGCATGATTCTGATGATAACACAATGCATTGGATTTACAGTTTTGTGCATTATTCATTCACTCCAATCTTTGTGCAAAGCAAAGCAAATATTATAGCTACAGTGGCAGACTGATGGAAGTAAAGCAGTATCATCTACCCATCAGACCCTCAGTGGACATACAATATGCATACTGGGCAACATGGGTGAAGGGTCTTGCCAAAGAACAAAATGACTAGACCCACTAGTGCCTCATTGTGGCACCTGATATTTCTAGAGATCTCCATCAACGTACTAACCAGGTTTGCTTGACTTCTGAGATATGACAAGATCTGGCACTGACAACAGAGTATTCCCATTATTGCAAAAATCTACCTCAGCTCAAGTTAGATGTTTTGGTGGTTAAGTGTCCAGGTTGAGATAGTTTGGACATGTACCTTCCCCAGGTTTGCATTCCCAGCCCAGCTTTTGGCCAATGGGGGTGAAGAGGTCCCTGATGAAGGCCTGGATCTCCTCATGGAAGTCTGTGTGGGAGAGCAGACAGGAGAGCACGCCCAGGTTACAGCTCAGGTCACTCCAGACCGTGTAGTTTGGCTCATTCACAAATGCCTCCATCAGCTTCAACACCTCCACTGTGCTGATCATCCCTGCACGTGCCTGGAGGGACGAGAAGATAAACGAGAAACAAAATATATTTAAAAGTAACTGGAGTACCTAACTTTCAAACCATGAAAGGAATATGTATATAGATCTATTCAACTAGCAATCCCTCACAAATCCTTTGGAAAATCATTAGAATTCACATACATTCATTTTTGGGTGCATGGCACAGCTCTTATTTCTGGGTTTACAAAATATGCAGTACTTTATCATTTATCATATGATTTTGTCTGATTAGGTCACAATATACTCTTTGGGTAAAATACAACATTTATTTTTATTACAAAATCTCACCTCTCAAGATTTATTGCAATTTTGTGGGGAAGCAAAAAGTAGAAATGTAGACGTATTATTTATATCTATAATTGCCCTGGCAATGGTCTAGAGCAATTGTAAGAGTTATTTCCAAAGGATTAAGAATTAAGTAAGTAATTCATAAGCCTGTTCATTCAAAAGAGGGTATGAGACTATCCAATTCAACGCCTCATTCATTTATATAATAATAACTTTTCTATTTCATTGTTAATTGTATTGTTCAATCATTGCAATTAGACAGTAATTAGACCTGGATAGGAATGTGTAGGTCTATTTTCATATAATTTATACAATTTCTGGGTCTTCACTGGGGCCTCCTCCAGGTGGGACATGCCTCCTGAGGGAGGCGCCCAAGAGGCATCCAGAACAGATGCTCGAGCCACCTCAACTGGCTCCTCTCGACGTGGAGGAGCAGCAGCTCTCTCTCTCCTATCTCTAAGGGAGCACCCAGCCACCCTGCAGAGGAAACTCATTTTGACCGCTTGTATCCGCGATCTTGTCCTTTCGTGAACAAGACCCCGAGATACGTGAACTCCTCCACTTGAGGCAGGGAATCTCCACCCAAAGTTGGAGAGACTGTCTCTTGGTTGACCTGGGAACGCCTCGGGGTCCCCCTGGAGGACGTATCTGGGGTGAAAGAAGTCTGGGAGTCCCTGCTTAGACTGCTGCCCCCGCGAACCAGCCCCAGATAAGTGGAAGAAAATGGATGGATATACAATTTGATTAACAGAAAAGGCAGAATAGCTAATAAAGCTCCTACTCTCAGTCATGTGAACTTCAACGATCCACAGCACTGCCACAGTGACGAGAGATGTAAGGGATGGCAATATCACACTATTCTTACATTCCTATTTACCACATTCCCTTTGTGTAGTATTGGGCCTAATGTAAAGTTCTTGTTACCAAGGAGAAGAGATCATTCTGCAACCCCAGTCGGTCCACAGGCTGCAGACTCAGGTCCCTGATCCCCGGGAGCAGACTCTCCAACATCGTTGAACTGTACTGGATCCTGTAGAAGCCCACTGTGCCCGGGTTTATCTGGGAAGAAACGAAGAACATAACACAGATTAGACTTTACAAGCAATGTAGACAAAGTCACATTTTAAATTAAATATTGCTAAAATGTTTTAGGGGAAAAGCAGTCATCCTATCACTAACAAAAGAAAACTCAATTCTGTCAAACTTCAAAGTTGAAGAGTGAATATTTTACACTACTAGGGTTGTCAAAAGTATTGAAAATCAGATATTAATAGACACTAGACATTGATTTGAACTAGTATCAACACAAAAAAATTCACATTTACAGAACAGAAATGAACCTTTCCTGAGTAGCTTTAGAATGATCTTGAGATGTATCAGAACAAGTGTAAGATCACACAGATTAATATACACCCATGGACCAGTCAGGGATTACACAGATATTACACGGTAATGCACAAGAAAGTGCTATGATTTAATGTTTAACATTCTATTGTCCAAGTATTGAGTATATTCCTTCGAAACTAAATTGAATTTGAAATTTTAGTATCGTGACAACACTATTCGACACATGTAGCTTCTTCAGTTCAGTTTTGTCTGGTTGACAAAATCACATTTTGTTTTGCTATAGGTAAACACATTTATCACATTAAAGAGTCAGAAAACCTTTGAGACAAACTTCCAGTAGACAGCATGATCTAACTTGTTGAGCTCTATCATCAATCTATTAGCAATCTATACATGTCTCTGGGTGCCTGTTGCACTCACCTTGATCCACTGGTCAGGTCCCACTTCGCTCACAGTGATGGTGGTCTCGGGTCTGTCCAGCAGGACCTTGAGTTTGGTGCATTTGGGGTCTTCACTGGAGCAGATACTGAGCGGGACCATCCAGTTCGGACACTCTCCCTCTACAGCCTCACTCTGCGGACCACTGGCACAAAATTTCTTCTGAGAGATCTTTAAAACACGATCTTCTCCTTGCTAGTAAAAAAAAAAAAAAAAAAAAAAAAAAAAGATAAAACATTCATTAGTTCAAATCCAGGCTCAAAACTATTCTGTTTAGCTGTGCATAAAAATTTAGTTTTACTGCAGTTTTCTCTTTTAAAGTCAATTTGTTCTGTAAATCACCTTGGATTACTTTGTGCAAATTTGTACAGCATAATTTGTACACAGCTTGTATTAAAAGATGCATTATGTATATTTCTCAGGTAGAGGATCTGTCACCTGCTTGTCTTCATGGACGTGTAATTTGTTTGGAATGTTCCACAACATGGCTATCCACCTTGCATTTAATCGTACAGGGAGATTTATTGCTAATTTGAGTTGAAAAACATGCAGTCTTCCTCTTAGAGCACGTTTAACTTGGCTAGGTGACAGCACCTGCTGGTCTCCATGGACATGTACATTTAATGATGTAATGAAAGTTACACAGTGCAGAGGATCTAATCATGAAATAATGTGGCTCAACAAACTTACAAATATCTAAAAGTATATACAATGTAGGTTACGTTTATAAAGTCACTTATAAATTCATTAAGGTGAACAATTAGGATACTAGAAATGCATTTGGAAAGTGGGGAAAAACTGAACCATTTTAAATGAAATGTTTTCAGATTTTAAAAATAAAATAAGGTATATCATCTTTAACAAACATCACTACTGACCACTACATGAACTCTGAGTGTGATTTGGGTACGCACCAAGTCCATAGGGCACTAACATCAGTTTCCAAAACCCAGCTGCAAAACATATTGAACCATTTCCTCTTAATGTGCTTGAATTAGTGTGTTTTATGCTTTTATAGAGCCTTTTAGACCTGTGTAATGAGAGCAGAGATTATGAAAAGCAGACTGAGCACCTGTTCCTGGTCGACTACGATGATCGGAAACCCCATCTGTTTGGTCCAAGAGCTCATCACCGCAGCAATGGGTTTGCCACTGGCCTGCTCCAGACACTCCCATAGATCCTCTGAATGAGAGACACACATGCAAAATATATATGAACAATTTAGACTAGTACCATATTTTTCTCCCCAAACTATATATAAAAAACTGCTAACCTTGTCATTTAGATCTGTACAAACATGTTCTGAAAGTTGATTCTTGTATTAGTTTGTCAGGTATCAGTACTTTTGAAAATTGTTTCACATGTATTTAAAATTTGAACTTTGAACAACACTTGTCAGAAAAAAAAAAAATCACAATTATATATTTTTCCTTAATCAATCAGCCCTAATTTAGACAATAAATGTTTGGTTAAAAAATGCAAGCTATAATTATACTTTGGAGACCAGGGCCCATGAAATAAATAACACAGTCTTATTCCATCTTTAAAACAAGAGTATAAGTAGTCCTGTTGTAATAATTATTAAAAGTTATTGTTCAATAAATGATAGCCAGAACAGTATATTGGGGGGGGGGCAATCATTTATTGTGTGTATATTTTCATTGCACTGGTGAGATTAAATTTTACTAAATGAACTAAGTAGTTCATTTAATGATGCTATATATTTAAAAACTGGTTTAATGGGATTGTCCTGCTTTGTGTCAGTGCCATAATGTAGTTTCAATATTAACGTTTATAGTAATACATCTCTGTAACAATATATCATGCTTCAAACTTTGTGTTACCGTGACAGGCCTAATAACCTCCATTGTCCACTCTTTGCAATGAAACAGCTAGTAAGATAGTGAACCTGCATTTGCTAATTAACAGACTCTACATCCACTTGTAATGTTCAGTGAGTAGTTACCATTTGACAGGATTAATACCTGACCAACAGTTGGCACACAGAAGACATTCTACAACAACTTTCTACAACAAATCGATTGTTTATCAAACTGATTATCAGTACATAGTCTAACAAACTTTAATGAAGGAAACAACCTCAGTCTTGTAACATATTTTAGAATTATATGCAAAATGCAAAACACCTACCATCAGACCCCCCCAAAAAAATTCACAAAAATACATGATTATAAGAAAATATTTCTGTACCTGTTGCTGCATTTTTGTGTTGAAACTTCACCAGATATGCATTCATTCCTTTCCTAAAATCCTATAAAAAAAGATACAGAGGTCAGTGCATAATAGACCGGTTCAAACTGGGATCAGCGCGGTCCAAACCTCGTCTCCAATGTAGTTGTGCAGCATTCGGATCACAGAGGCTCCTTTGCTGTACGAGATGGCGTCGAAAATCTCATCCACTTCAGAAGGGTGACCCACGTTCACCTGAAAACCACAGGGGACAGTAATGAGTTACATTTACTCTTACTTTTACTGGGGTAACTTTGATGGACCTGTACTTCAAAGTGTAGTTTTAGCACACCTTTCATTGCTTTACTTCAACACTTTTAAAATGTATGGTCTATAGTTTGTAAATTTCCTTTTTTCTATAATTTTATGTCTTGCATGTTTGTACAACCTCAAAACTGAACCATAAATCTCTTTAAATATTTGCAATTTTGGATCAATTAAATGTGTTTTTTTGTAGCTCCTTGGAAAGACATGGAGTCGACCAAGTTTTTTCAATGCACTTTGGAGCAATAAAAACCACCATGATTAGGTTTAAGTTTAAGCATCCTTCAATGCTGCTGGGGCAACCTGCCACGAGCGGCTGGGGACCCATAAGCCACACAGACATAGGGAGAAACATGATAATTCCACACAGAAAAGTAACCCAGGAATCAAACCCAGAACCTTTTTGCTTGTGATGTGTGAGTGGTAGTCACACATCCATTAAAATGGTAAACCATTTTAATTTTAGTCTGTGTATTGGCTGAAATGTTATGCAAGTGAAATTTTCCACTGTAAAAAAAAAAATCCTTTTCCTATTCCTTACCTCTATGGGGTGGCTGCTGTCCAGGGCATCCAGGTCGAGAGCTCTGGTGTAGTCGGCCGACACAAACTGAGTCCAGATGTCATACTCAGGGAAGCAGTGGTCCACACACAGGTACTCAATCCATGACGCAAAACCCTCATTGAGCCACAGATGGGTCCACCATTCCTGAAAACAGGAAAATACATGGGAGACAGAAGTAAATGTAGTATTAACAACAGGTAAAATATGCTGTATCCAAATATTTTAATTTAATAAAGTCAAATTTATTTTGTTTTCCATGGTTTTAAGATGGTAACGATCAGGTACAGTGTTAACTTGGTACATGTCATACTTTTGTCAACTAAGAGTAGGCAGTATTGCCAGTAGTATTGTGCAGTAGAAGGATCATATAATCTCCATTGAAGAAGTTTAAGTAGTACTTAACAAACATTTTAAAAACTTTAGTGAAAAGGTGCATATCCAAAGTGGACTTTTTGTGAGTTTCAGTTATAATGGCAAGGAGAAAATTCAGTTTGTCGACTGGACAAAAGTTAGTTTGTTTGAAGACGTTTCGTAGCTCATCCAAGCTGCTTCTTCAGTTCTTCAGAATTTTCTCCTCACCATGGATTATACCTGGACGACTGAGGGATTCTTCACACATTTCAGCTATAATGGTTACACACATTTTTAAAACAAATATGCAATTTCAAGGGCAATGCAAAGTTTAATGCGTTTATGTCATACATCATTTTTTTAACAATGGACAAACACTAATGAGCCTGTTTTATAAATAATTTACATTGGCAGTGGCTCTCAAAGGGCTGAAGCAGGTCTAAAGAGTGTACTGTGCTTCTACTGTAGTTCTAAAGAAATTATTCAAAGGATAATTGATATAGGATTGATAAAATGAACTCTAAATGAGGCAAACCCAACCCAAACCAAGTACCACCTGAAGGAGCTCACATATTACAGTTTGAGAAACATTAGTGCACATGAAGATACAGTTCTTTTACCATTGTGACTAGGTTTCCAAACCACTGATGAGCCAGTTCATGCCCCACTACCAGTGCCACCCACTGGCGGGACGAGGAACAGGAGTTTTTAGGGTCGATTAGTAGCGCCGTTTCTCTGTAAAATACAAACTAAAGATTAACACATGGATGATCTGCAATCTACGTATGTAAAAACAAAGATGCCGTACCTACTCTTAAACTTTTAAATGTCTTAAAAATATGAAAAATCAAAAAGCCCCATTAATGACACATTTTCCTGTTTAAATTGTATTATCGTTTTAAAATTATCAAAATGGCCTCCAAAATGGCACAGTAGCTGGATTTACAAAATAGTTTGGTGTTAAGAAAAGCTTGTTACATGTGCGCTGAGACAATCCTACTTATGTTTCTGATCACGATTCGCTTGAATGGTGAACAGCTGGTCACAAAAACAGAGCCATTAAAATCTCATATCCTGCCTACAACATGTGCCTCGCATTCGCCACTCTCCCGGGAAGCCCTTATCTCTATTCTCTGCTATAAATGCGGGTATTCTGAAACAATCATTAAGGTGATTTGCCATGAAATTTAATTAAATATTAAATATAAAAAGGTTGTGGAGATGTGACCTGTAGTAATCATGTGCAGTACTGTAACATAATGTCAATCATCATCATCATCATTTTTGAGTGCGTAGAACTGAAATTTCACCAGGAACAAATAATCTCTTCTGTCATAATTCTCCTAACATCACAAGTTGAACTACTACTACTACTACTACCCTCACCAAATTCCCTCCTATTTTCAATAATATTATGACCTTATATTCTTCTTATTATTATATTATAGAATAATATGTACTGCAGAGTTCCATATTATTGTGTTATCATTAATACAATTTGTACTGTGCAATGAAACTATTTTTATCAATTTGAGATCTGAGTTCAATTTCAAATTGTCAGTGACCTACTTTGAGTTTTTTTTTAGCTGGGATGTCCACTGCCACTCTTCAGTCAGTAAAAACATGTGGTTGGAGGAGAATTCATATTTTGGAGGGATAAATTTAACTGTGAAATGACAGTGTGTCTTGTTTCATTCATGTTCATAAAATTTGGTTTTAATTTAAGAATTCTCTCAAAACTCATACTCAACTAAAACAAGGAAAAAACAGATACATTTTCTGACATATTGCCCAGCTGTATTCTTGTTTTACAACTTCAGCTACTGCTACTGCTACTGTTACTTCTAGTATACGACAACAACTTTGATGAGATTGCACAGGGGACATTTGTGGTTCTGAATAACATTAAAAAAATAATTATTTCAAAATAAATTACTGTAAGATGCAATGGTTCTGAGTCCTTTAAGAAACTAGAGCACAACTTTGTTATTGCTCAACTCTGTTTTCATGGTCCTTATCAGCAGCCATGCATACACTGCCATCAACAGAGCAAGTGCCCAGGGCCTGACCAGAAAACTCATTGCATAACTTAAAAATATGTCACCTGACCAGATTTAGGTCTTTTAACAGACAAACACTTTATTTATTTCAAACTCTTGGACATGTAATTACCTGTATGTTACAAGGCCCCAGTTTTCCATGGCACCTGAAAAGAGAAAAGGTAAAATTCATACTTTTATGACATAAATGGCTGAATTAAAGTAAACAGATAAAAATAAAAAGACTAGTACTGACCAGCAGCAAAATCAGCAATAGCTATGAGATCAATCTTAGGCAATGGATAAGGAACATTGAAATAGTCTTTGTAGAAAGGTAGTGTCTTCGTAGCAACCTGAAAAAGACAATGAGAAATATTTTTTATTTTTAATTTTTTCATATATTTCTATCTACATTTTTCTGTCCATATTATATTTGTATGCATGATTCAATATTTATGTGTTGTAGTAAAAGGACCTATATTAATAAAAATGATATATTAATTCTCTAATCTAATGAAAATTTTACCAGGTCTATTGCTTTGTAAGCAACTTTGTTCAGTACCAGCACGCTGAGTCTTTATGGTGCAATATAAAACTTTTGGTGGGGCAAATACCCATTTCCATGGATATGTTATTGCTTTGCTTGGAATGTTCCACAGTATGGCATAAAACTTACCTAACTCAATCCACATGAGCAGGTGAACCCACCAGTGAGCCCACTTACAGTAAGAATTTATGTTTTGAACAATATTAACCAGTGCCTGGAATGTTGTAGGCAAAGCAATGACATCCCAATGTATTCAAGCAGGTAGTGGCATGCCATTAGAAAAGTTACACAGTGCACCTTTAAGTAAAATATTAAATTAATACATCTTGTTATCTCTTGAACATGATGAAATCCCCTCACCTCCAGTGCAAACTTGCCCTGCTCGGCCTTCCCCACAGGAGTGTAGACCCGGACTGTGATTCCATCAGAGGACTGGCTCTCCACAAAGTCGTACTCTCCGATGACGAATGCGACCAGATAAGTGGACATGATAGGGGTTGTGGCAAACTTCACCTCCACCAGGTTCTCGTCTTCTGGATATGGCTTTCGATCGATCACATTCTGGACAAATAGAGGGAAAAATCTATTAATTTATTTAGGTCTAATCAGTCTACTTGACTAAAAACTAAATAAATAATTAAATAAATAATTTGTCTTTTCCCCTTGAAACTAGAACAAGATGAGTGAGACCAAGAGTGAGACTCATTCCCCATACATAGTGATGGTAAACTACATGTGGCTGCCAATATGGGCCCTTGACAATAGGAAAATAATGTTTATCAATGTTTAATATGAACTACACCTTTTTTAACAAAACAATTAATGTCAAATGTCTTGCATAAACAACTTTCCCGTCTATAAACGGACAACAATATTGTAGTGCCGTCACAAAATTAAAGTTTTAAAATGACGATTAACTGGGACTGTTGTCACAGTGATCACTTATTTTATTGTTCAAAATGTTGCAAATTACAAGAGCCTGAAACCAGTAAAAAACTAGAGTAATATATTGATATAGTAGCATATGCCACTACTGAACTATTTAAGCCACCCTCAACTATACATATAGACAAATCAGTGCTTTGCTCTTGCTTTGTAGCTTTTACCTATAGATTGACGCATGAATGACATATGTTAAACATATTACAGTTCAGCCTCCGTGACTGTTAGATTTAATGCCCGTTTACAGCTGCACAAACACAGCCCTTTGTTTTGAAGTGACCACAGCCCTGTAGCTCAGCCTGTAGCTCAGACAGTAGCAAACACTCCTGGTTTATTTTCAGAGATGAATGATTTTACAATGGGACCGCTCTGGGACAGAGTCCAAATTAACTCTTTCATAATAAGAGACAAGAATGTAGCTTCACTGTTATTGTCACACCATATAGCAGTTAATGATTACAATGGGTAAAACACATTTCTGCTGTATGTTTTTATTGTAAGCTTCAAAGCCGGAATACAAGAGGCTGTATATATAAAGTCCACAATGCACTTGGTAAATAGTGAGGATTATTTACCTTTTGTCCCTAGTGTCGCAGTAGCAATAAAGTAAAGATCGGTTTCAATACATTGATTTTAAAAGTAAACCTTTTAAGTCCTGTCAAGGTAATTTACCATTTTTACATCTATGAGCATAAATTAAAGAAGATACAGTATATGGTAGATTATAACTATATAGCAGATTCAAGCACAACACCCGTGTCATGCTATAATTTGGACTATTTAAATCACAATACTGAAATAATAATAATTGCGAGTAGTGGATTTCTTTTTTCATTTGTACCATATTGACAATGTAATGCTGTGTATCATCTATTAAGAAAATAACATTCGAGAACAAAGGTGGTAGTAGTCGTAGTCGTAGTCGTAGTCGTAGTCGTAGTCGTAGTCGTAGTCGTAGTCGTAGTCGTAGTCGTAGTAGTAGTATACCGTGGCGGTGCAAACAGGAGTTGATCGCCAAAAGTGCTGTCTTGAAAATACGTGATTAAAGATTGCTCAAACATGCACATACCACTCCAAATACAACTTTGGGTGAGTAAATGGTGAGAAGAAACAGCTACAACATTGTTAAAACTTTGAAAAGTCAATTTTGTATAACAGGTCTGCTTTAAGGCTAAAGCCACTTTAGATCTAGTTTTTGTGGATTGTTTTTCTGTTTCATCACGATTCCTGTCAAAACTCAAGATAAAAATTGTCTGTTGGTTACCAGTTCAACATGGTTCCTTCCTTAGACCATTATATAATGACCAGAACTGCACTAAACCAGAACTATTCAAGGACTAATTAGTAAATCTGGTCTAACCTCAGACAGATATTAATGACCGATAATTGTCCACAGAAGCAAGACAAACCAGGACTAAAACAGGTCTAAACTAGAACTCACCAGGTCTAAAGCACCTCCTACAGATAATGGCAGTGAACAAGTTTGGAAATTCTCTGCCCCAAACTTATTTCTGTGTCTGACTAAGCAGCTTTGTGGATAAAATGTGCAGATTGTGCTTTATATATACAGCAAGTGTGCCGCGATAAAGAAACCTGTGCTTTAGCCTATTAGAGCTGAATATTTTGAGGATCCAACACCTGCTTGTCTTTTTGCTCTGCCTTCCTCTACATGTTCCACAGAATGGCATTAAACATTCATCTTGCATTTAATACATTACAGGTGTATTCACCATCAACTACTTCGAAAAATATTAATTTCAATTGTGTGGGGGCTCGCCTCAGCATAGATGTGACCTGTAATGTCTTGTCTTGATGGAGATAGAGAAGCTTACTGCCATACTTGGAACATACTTGGAACATTTCACACAAAGCAATGACATCTGCATAGAGACTGACACTTTAAAATCCCCCAAATTATGTGCTAAGCTTTGTAACGGACAATTTTACTACATCAAACTCACAAAAAAAATCTGCGGTGACATTTAGAAGCCCTGATAGTTGAAATAAGCTTCCTCTCTTTATATTTTGAAGTGGATTCTCATGTTGCGTCGGCCTTCGCTCAAACAAAGTGGCTCCATTATCCGGGCCAGACTGTAAAGGTCACTGCAATGGCTCAGGGAATACTGTTCACAAAGTCTAAATGTCAGCAGCTTTTATACAGCAGTTTCCATATTAAAACTAATGTTGTGTGGTCAAAGATTTAGCAAATAATATGTTTTTTCCCTTTCAGGTTTTCATTAATCGTTACTCTCACTCAGGTCCCAGTCTAGCCACAGTTGCCCTGGGACAATCAAGCATGACTATTTAGGACCATTGGCTTGGTTTCTATTGCACTAGTACTGTTAGGATACTAAAATTTCAAACTCAATTTCAATATTAAGGAAAAGGATTGATGCTCAAAACTGTTAATAAAAAATTATAGCAGTTTTTTAATGTTATCTTGTAGTAAAACACTAGTTAATATTTTGATCCAGACCATTGTAAAACTATTTAGGAAAGGCACCATTTTGTCATATTTTATTGTACAGTTTTCAGTACTCAGAGTTAATGTTTCACAATTTCATTTCATTTCCTTTTCTTAAAAATGTTACTTCATTGACATCTCAAGTACTTTTACAGGATTGTCAAGTCTGAACAAAGTTTGAGGGTGATGCTTCTATAGAATTTCTTTTGCCCAAGGCCAATGGAAAATTCAAGCTACTATTTTGTAAACTTTTATAGACCAGTCTGACATCTTTTAAATGCACTGAGGTCTGCTTGTTAAAAGGAATAACAAGCAACAACTACTAGTCCAGTTACAATACGTCATTTTGAAGTTATACCGCTACAGGAAATATCTCAATATGTAATATTGGTTGCGTTTAAGTGACTTCATCACAGTTTTACAATCTATAGTTTAGCACTGAGCTGGAGGACAGGTCAGAATTCTATGGTAGCATTAGCAGTTTAACTTTCAGATTGAAGATTTGATGACATGATTTATGGCTAACACCTCTGTAGTTACTGAGCCTATATATCTGATATCTGTCAGCTTGAACAAAAAATATATATTTTTTTTTTCCACAAATGCTTCACAAAGTGCTGTCATTATTCAACCCTAAAGACATGATTGTTGTCAGTTGAAAAACAAGATTCATAAAGTTTGGATTTGGATAGTATGTAGTTATTTTCAAGATGGCTACAATGAAACTACAGTGCAATACTATTCAAATATTTCAGTTTCAAACTTCAGATTTGAGAGAGATCTGCTGTCCTTTTGAGCCTGAGGGCAGCGTTACATTTTATATGAGCTAGATGTGGTATTTTGATGTCACTTTGATGTAAAATTCAGACATCTTGTATGGCTTTCAGGTATAACAAAGGCTCTTTAAAATAGAAGTATAACATTAGCCAGGGGTTTTGAACTCTTGTGTAAACTATTCTGCAGAGGAGAATGACGGCCCAAAGATGTGAATATAGTTGTGTTTCTCAAACTGTGGAAGGGGGCTGATAGTAGTGCATGAACTTAAGTGTCTATTTTAGTTTTTACAAGAAGTGTTTTGGTCAGAGATTTCTCAAGAAATAGCATTATTCAGCTCAAAAAATATAAAAAGATTTGGCAACCAATATAATGTAATGACCACAGAAAAAATATAATATATATACTTCAAAACTGGTCAAAAGTAGATACTCCTTTCAATATTATGACTTTCTCACAATGATTACAATGTTCTTGACCTATATCAGAATTATTATTAGAAAAGAGTAAAGTATAGTAAGTATAGTATTAAAGAAACTAAAATTTTGTGTTCTGTGGTGTCCTGTTTTTATTATCATGGTATCAAAATCAGTACAGAGTCCTTTGTTTACTATGGAAATAGAATTGGTATTCGTGTATTGATTCGTGACAACACTACTACCCAAGTTACCTCTGAGCTCACGAATGCTTAATTTTTATTTTTTTTTATCTGTGTGTAAAAGTACAAATGTGAGGAATACCATATTTGACAAGGCGACACGATCCTTGGGGACGATCAGGCTGATGTCGAAGGTGGCTTTGATGGCAGGTTCGTCCCAACACGGGAAAGCTCTGCGTGCATCTGTGGCCTGGAGACAAAAGTACTCATTATATTAATGATGCAATGCTGAGAAAATTGACAAATTACTGCCTGTGCCTGTAAATGTCTTGGATGAGGTTCAAATTTAGCACAAAATGTGAATTGACCACAAACCTGCAGAGATATCACTTTATACCAGTGGTATGCGGTAACGGCAATCAAGGCAATAAAACCAATAAAACCAACAAAAGCTAAAATTATTGTGTGTGTCAAAAGTATAATTAAATAGTTTAAAATTATGTCCAAATAACCCTGTTTTCACTTCTGTCCATTTGAACTGGAGAGGCCAGTTGTGTTAGAGGCTTGCGCATGGGTACTGAGGGCCACAACCGGCTCAAACAACGCTGAATAAACCCATATCATCATTCATGGGAACCGGAGATGTGTGGAAGGAGATGACAACAGCAGCACTAACTTTCAACACAAGTGTCTAAAAATAACCCACTTTTAGTGGCAAGTCATTGTTTATAGTTTTGCGATTGTAATGATTAGATATTATTTAGAAATACAGGCAGTCATTTAATCCAACAGTGAGCTAGTTTCAGGGCCAGTTTGTGTAAAATGTAGGATCCAAACGAAGCAGCAAAGTGAGTGGCTGCTGTAGCCAGGATTCCACCTCGTCTGTGTGTTTATGAAGGAGCAACAGGGGCAGTGGAATAACAGTACTATTACACACGTGTGGAGGAACATGTGTCTGTTCTAGACCTACTCTGCTTCAGGGAAATGCAGGACGATTCTTTAGGAAAGAAGTAGTTTTACGTCAGTGAGAGGTGAGTGATAACGCGCTGTTCTAACTTGATGGGACATTTGTGACACATCAGGCTGTATTATAAGTGCACCTATGGGATCAGGTTATTGTGTGTGTGTTATTGTTAGTATCACTTCATGATCTTCACAAATGCTCATTTTGTGTAGTGCATTACACTAGTAGAGCTCTCATATGTCTTCAAAATATTATTATTATTATTATTACTATTACTATTACTGCAACAACTACCGGGGGCCGTATCCAACCTACTTTGGCATATGTATCCCAAAAATAGCAATAACTTCAAATATTCGTGCAGAGAAAAGCAAATCTATTACAGAAATCTTTTTTAATTGATGAACTCTTTCTTTTACAAAATATTATTATATTATGAACAACCTGAAACTTTTAAAAAATGCAATTTCAACACAATGTTTTAACATCAACTTGTATGCAAATAGGAATAAGTAAATTTTTCTTGGAAAATCCTGCACTCACAATATTAATAAAGTATGTAGGTCTGAGTCTCCGTTTACCGGTGGTAAATGGTATAGTAAGACACTCATGTTTTAGCTTTAGCTGGTTCACATATTTTGTAATATAGGTCTAAAAATCTCAGACTATTCACAAGTCAATCATATTTAATTTTTTTTACATAAGTGCCTTATGATGACATCATTTACAACTATGATGGGCTGGTATCAGTACCCCCATAAAAAATGCAAAGCATGCAAAATGGAATAACCGAGCCCTCAGCAGCTGCTACAGAAGGTGATACACTTCAAGGAAAAAACAACAAATATTGCTTAACAGTTGAGTTAGTTATAATAAGGCAAATCAATGAAGGGCATCCTAACCTACAGTATAAACAGTGATTGGGGTCAGTTTTGACTTTCACAAGAACAAATGACCCTATAGTCTCAAAGATAGACAAAGCAGGTATGAAACAAGTGTTAAAGAGGGAAATATGAAATCTAATATATTGGCACAAAAAATACATAAATAAATACATAAATAAATAGCAGAATGAAATACTGAACTTTATTAGTAAGTATTATTAAACTTTTTGGAGGTGGCACATCACCTGCATGATTACAGGGGGAAGTTGAAACCATGCTTCGGAAAATTCTCCATGGAGATAGCAATACACTGAAATATTACAGCCAAAGGAACAATATTTCCATGGAAAAACGCAGGAAACAGAGGCCCTCCTCCAGCCAAATAAGTCAGGTTTTTTGGAGATGCAAGCCCACTCACAGTACGGACAAACGTTTTTCTATGTTTTTCACTGAAATATATAATGGAAAAACATGCTCTAATTACCGGTACTGAATTTTTAGGCTAAAAGTTACATGGTGAGACTTGAATGAGTCACAGATGTAAATTATTTGACCCCTTACAGCTTAAATGCTATCAGAGTAAACTTACACATGATAAATATTGACCATGTCTTTCTTTTATTAAACAATAAGTGTGTATGTAGTAATTGTTGTAACGTGCCTATTTTGCTTTTCTGTGGTGCACTGTGCTCCACCTCAGAACCAGTTCAGGTGGGGAGCCGTGCTGAAAGAGGCTAACAGGTTTACAGGCTTCAACGATTTGCTTAAACAAAAGAGAGGAGAATTGGAGAAGCAGATCTCATAAAAGAGGGCCAAACAACTAGTAAAATAAACACGAAACATTAACCTGACAGACAACAGCAGTGAAGAAGAGCAAATCAAATAAAATGTTAAATGCCTCGTTTTTTGGGATAGCTGTTGTCTATATAGTGCTTTTCTGACAAGCACTGCAATAGTGAGATTTGCGATTTATAGTAGAACTCTGTTCAAAGTACACTTTTTAACACATCCAAAAGCATTGTAAATTAAGAGAAGACTGAAATATGATCTGAATTCAGGGATCAGACGCATTTCACAGTTTGTGAGTTTTTTGTTGTTTACAGAGAAAATTACTTAAATCCTTACATAAATAATTAGTATTTTGCAGTTTGCCAATTGGGACCATTCAAATTGCAATTTTAATTTGATTGTGATTAATCTCGAAGCCCCAGCGAAAAAAAGATAAATATGAAATTCCAAGTAGGGATGGGCATGATTAATCGATTAATCGATAATTGATCATTAAGAATTTCGTCGATTACGTTAATTTTAATCGACAAACCGAATGTAGGTTGCTGTGTGTAGCGTGACCAAACAGGGGTCTGTACATGTGTCTCTCTGCACTCAGAAGGAGCGAGCAAACACAAACATTCGGTCAGTCTGCAGCGTACCGAAGCACAAATGCGTATTTAACGATGACTTCTACAAGAAGGTCCACGCTTTCCGTTGCGTTCGGGACAAGTGTGAGGCCAGGTGCACAGTGTATAAAGCAGGAACATATGTTTCGGTGTCCAGTGGGAAAAAGCTTTACCAGGTGAGAGTCGCGCAATGTCGATGACGAGTCCCCACCTCCCTCCCCCCGCACGGTGTCCTGGTTTTGACAAACGCAAATCTGGTCACACTAACCTGTATTCCACTGAGTCATGTCTTTTAATCCGACAGAAATTGACCGCATCAGCGACACAAGAGCTGTAGTTTTATCTTCGCTTAGTTTATGCAAATTAGCGATGCGGTTTTAAGTTTCGTTTCTGTGAGAGTTGCGCAAAACTGAATTAAACACATAAATAATTAATGTCGTCAAACGGATTGATGTGGCTCTAGAGTCGTTACGGTTTATATGTCGTAAAGTTGAATTTATTTATGCAGATTAGTAGTGCAGATAGTAATAATGATGATGATCATTTTAATATAAAAACGTTAATGATTAATCGATAATCGATTGTTAATTCTTCCGACGATCGGTTAAGAAAATTTCATCGAATGCCCATCCCTAATTCCAAGTTGAATTTCCTCATTTCCAATTAGATTTTGTATTTAGAAAATATATTTAAAACAAATATAAATGGTTTTCAATCATACTTCCCAGAACATGAGCAAAAGTCAACTTTCTGGTCCAATTTCATTCTCCAAAGTACTGACAAAGGACTGGCTGTAGACCCAGGCTGATCAAACCTTGATCTCCATTAACAGCTCAGCCCTACTTTGCTCTCAAGTCTTTGTCATCCTAAACCAACCTTTTCATATCATTCAGGAAAAAAATTATGCAGTGAATTTATGTACACAGTACAAATAAATGCATAGTCCCAAAATAGCTGTAACTTTGACGGGATTGTTTTTTGTCTTACCTCAAACTGTGTGACAGCAGCATAGCGGACCTCTCCAGCTGCTGTTGTGTATTTACTTCTGTAGAATCCTTTCATTTTGTCATTGAGTTCTCCCACAAAGTCTATCTTCAACATACCGGACCCTGGAATACAAAAATATAGTACAGAGTTTGAAAATGAATTCCCAAAAATAAATGTATAAATAGTTGTATTTGAAAGAGCCTTCACCTTTCTGTAGCGCACTGGGAAATGACAGCGTGACTTTCTCATCTTCATTTTGATAGTTAAAACCTGTGGCGTTAATTTCTACAAAAACACAAAAATAAGAACATTGATATCCTAAAAACTTAATGATAAACTATAAATGATTCATATTAAAATGGATAAGTGGCTACACTGGCACATAGTTCTTGGGTGAACTCGACAAGAGTAACCTTGGAAATACTCAAGGTTACCATTATATGCCTGCCAGTTTAATGAATGGGCAGAGCTCAGTGGTGCTAGTTTAGGCTTTAGCGTAGAGCAAACCGAAGCTAAAGATGAAAAGTGTTTTTAAGACAACTGATGGATTTTGAAACAAGAGAAAAAATATAATCTGAATAAAGGCAAACACCACCACAAAATCCACGCAATTTAAAGCTGTAGGTGCTGTCAGTCGAATATAAGCAGTTACAATACCCTATCCAGATTTCATAATAGATCCATTGCTAATACTAAGAAAAAATAGCTTGTTCCACTATGCAAGACTGTTAGAGAAATCTCAGTTCTGTGCTAGACTGAGCTGACAGAGAAATTTTTTTTAACACTGTCTGTTTTTTTTTAAAGTCTAAACTAGCACTGCAAAATGTACTGAAATTGCAATATGGGATCATCAAATTGAAAAGACTACAACTAGATAATAGACTGTGTGTTTTTATAGAAAAAAATCTTGTACCTGTAGTCTAGACAAACATGTCTTCTCTCAAAGGTTAATGAAGTTGTTTGCAATGTGTATTCAGAACAGATTCTTTTAAATATATATTGCAAATCTAATCTCAATACTTGTCAGATAAAATACAATTACATTTCTTTCCAAAGGTATGCATCTCTCTAAAAGTCTCATGTAAACCTTGATTCATTGGCTCAAACAGACCAACCTTCTGCTCCCTGTGGACAGAATGAGGCTGTGATGATGTCAATGTCGGCGCAGTTCATCACAATCTGATTGGTCGATTGTGTCACCTGTAAACACAGAAAAAGGGAGACCAATGAAAACACAGGGATGGAATCTTTCTATAGCAACAAGTGAACTGACTTAACCGTCTACAAAACAATGTACAGTAAATGGAGAAGTAACTTTTCTGGTGGAGGGTCTGCTACTTGCTTGTTTCCATGGAAATGCAGATATTGGTCTGCCTGGAATGTTTCACAATAGGCCCAAACTTATCTCCATGGAGCTGCTACCAGGCCAAGTTACAGGAAAAAACAGTGGAGACATGACAGTAAAAAATTGTATTTCTCAAAAAAATATATTTTATAATTTGGTCATTTAATTAATGCCATATTCTGGAACATCTGATGCAAAGTAATAACTTGTCATAATAATGGAAGGCTCCCACAAAAAAGGTTATACAGTGCACACCTCTTTGAAATTTGAAGTGAACATAAAACCTAAATTAACTGATATTAAACTGAACATTTTGAGTACAGAACAAAAGGGTAAATAATCCTGTCTTCTTGGATCATGACTAAGCTTTCCTTCTTTTAAAATGTGATTGTAGCTTGTGTTTGTGTAAGCATTTTCCTTGATCCTTTTAGGAGGAGATCACTGATGGAGCAAAGAGGTCACGGGGTTTAAATGTTTTGTCCAATACAATCAGGGTGTCCCTAGTGAAAACAATGCTTTAGACAAGACCCAAGTAACCCATCGAAAGACTATCAATCCTCACTGCCTATTACGTAGGGGTGGGCATGTCAAAATTATCGATACACAGATACTGATTGAGACTTAACTAGATACTAGACACACACAGACAAAAATAGGATACGGTATAGAAATTTAGTAGTGGGCCTTTTACATTCAGGCAATATTTAACTAAAATGAAAGTACAGAAATATCACTTTATAAATACCCTTTCTGATAACAAGTTTCTGTTTTTGTCAGTTAATAGACTGATGAGTCTCAGAGTAGAACAAATCAAGACAGCTAAACATGTTATTTATTTATATGGGACAACAACAGAAAGTAGACTTTAGTGAGTGAGCTGAAGATTAAGTATTTATTTTGGTATTTATTTTTATGTACAAGGCAGATTACACTCATGATTCATAGTTTAATTTCTGCATTAGTTCGTTTTTTTTTTTTTTTTGTATAAACTCCTGAGCAGGTGTAGTCTTGTGCATGGAGTTTAGGCCAGAAACAGAGATATGTAATAGTTTCGAAAGCTTTTCTTTAAAAGAATTTTTAAAAATAATTTTTATAGACAATATCATCATTATGTTTTGCATACCTTCAAAACAACAATGTCACCATATATTTTCCATTTCTTTTGTTACATATAGA